TGTTCTGCCGCCCGTATCTTTGTGCGTAGATGGTACACGGTTTGTTCCATTTATCTCCCCCCCACTGTCCCACTTTCTCTTCCTGATCTTAAACACCACCTAGACTCCTTGCCGGAGCCTGTGTTCCTGCTGGGTGATTTCAATTGTCGTCATGCCCTTTGGGGTGATGTGCTGACAAACACCCGGGGTCGCCTCCATGAACCTTTCATCCTCTCTTCTTCCCTGTCCCTTCTTAATTCTGGTGAGCCCACTCATTTGGACTCTCGGACTCGCTCCCTTTCTTGTCTCGATCTTTCTCTGTGCTCATCATCCCTTTCCTTAGATTTCGGGTGGCGAGTCCTTGATGACCTCCATGGCAGTGACCATTTTCCTATCCTTGTCACTTTTTTCTCCTTTCACCCTCCTCTCTCCTTCCCTAGGTGGCGGTTTGCCGAGGCTGACTGGCGCCTCCTTACTCTCTGTGCTACTATTTCCGACCTCTCCGTTTTACCTCTCCCTCGCGCCCTCCTTCTTTTTCATGACACTGTCTTTGACGCTGCCCTCCACTCTATTCCTCGCTCTTCCTCTCGGGGAACGCGGAAGTGCGTTCCCTGGTGGAGTTTGGACTGTGCTCGGGCTGTCCGCTGTAAGCGTGCAGCCTGAAGAGACATCGCCGCCGCCAGACGGTTGAGTCTTTTCTTTTGTTTCGGAAGGCGAGTGCGGTGGCCCGTAGGACCATCTGTGTGGCTAAACATGCTTGCTGGGCGTCTTATGTCTCCACCGTTACGTCCGAAACTCCTCTTCCACTGGTCTGGAAGCGTATCCGCAAGATTGCGGGTAAGTTCATTCCCGATGTCTGACCGGTCCTTCGCCTCCATGGTGCTCTTGTGGCGGACCCGTTGCAGGTTGCGACCGAACTGGGTTCCCATTTCTCCTCTGTTAGTTCTGGTTCTCATCTCCCCCAATCCTTCCTTCGTAAGCCTCTCCTTGAATCTCGTCCTTTAAATTTCTGTACTTATCTTCACCTTCCCTATAATGATCCCTTCTCTCTCTCTGAACTTCAATCTGCCCTAGCCCTTTGTGGTTCTACGGCAGCGGGCTCCGATGGCATTCATTATGAAATGCTTCGCCATCTTCCTCCGTGCACGTCTCAGTATTTACTGAGTCTGTACAATCGGGTCTGGGAGTCGTCGTCAGTCCCTGAAGACTGGCTCGATGCTGTTGTCCTCCCTGTTCGGAAACCAGGGTCTCTCGGGTCATCCCCCAAGAACTTCCGCCCTATTGCCCTCATGAGTTGTGTCTGCAAGCTCTTTGAACGTATGGTCAACGTTCGTTTGATGTGGTTCTTAGAACACTATCACCACCTCTCCCCTTCTCAATTTGGTTTTCGCAAGTGCCGCAGCACAACAGATGTCCTGGTGAACTTGGAGGTCTATATTCGTACTGCTTTTGCTGCGAAGACCTCCGTTGTTGCCGTCCTTTTTGACCCTGAAAAGGCTTACGACACTACCTGGCGGTATCATATTCTGTCTCAACTTCATTCTTTTGGCCTTCGTGGGAACCTCCCTCTCTTCCTCCGGAGCTTCCTCTCTCGTCGTTCCTTTCGTGTGCGGCTTGGTACTGCTCTCTGCCCCTTTTCAGCAGTATAAGGGTGTACCCCAGGGTAGTGTTCTGAGCACTACTCTTTTTCTAGTTGCCCTCAACGGTCTTCTTTTCCTTTCTTCCTTCTAGCGTCTTTTCTGCTCTCTATGTTGATGATGTTACCCTTTGCTGTCGGGGTAATGATTCCCCTCTCCTTCAACGGCGGCTTCAACTTGCGATTGATGCCGTGTCGTCTTGGGCCACCGATCATGGCTTCAAGTTCTCTGCGTCTAAGACTTGTGCTATGACTTTTACTCGGAAGCATGTCGTTCTTCGTCCCTCTTTGTCGCTTTATGGTCATCCCATTGTGTACAGGGATTCCGCGAAGCTTTTGGGGGTTAGTCTTTGACACTCGTTTGTCTTGGTCAGCCCATATCTCTTACCTCCGAGTTGAATGCTCTAAGGCCCTTAACCTCCTTAAAAGGTTTTGTCCCATACTTCTTGGGGAGCGAATAGGCGCACGCTGCTCTATTTGCACTCCTCTCTCGTCCTGTCTAAATTCGATTATGGTTACCCTGCATACTCTTCTGCTTCTCCTTCTACTCTTTGCCGTCTTGATGCTTTGCACCATACTGGGTTGCGTCTCAGCTCTGGTGCCTTTCGTTCGACTTCCGCCCTTAGTTTGTATGTTGACACTGGCTTTCTCTTTCTTCAGGACCGCCGTGATCGCTTTCTTCGCTATCTTTCGCGGTCCTTCCAACATCCTTCCTCTCGCCTCTGTCGTGCATTGACTTTTCCTCCTCCTGTGGTTCCTGTTCCTCTTCATTGTCTCCCACTTTCTCTCCGGTTATCTCGCTTACAGGATTCTCTTTCTGTTCATATTTCTAATGTTTCTCCTTGTATTGTTCCTTCCTTACCTCCGTGGAGAGTCCCCCTTCCCAAGTTTTGTACGTCCTTGACTTGTATTACTAAAGCCTTTACCCCTCCTACAATTCTGAAAAGCCTCTTCCTTGAGCACTTTTCTTCGCACTCCCACTCTATTTCCATCTTCACCGATGGGTCTAAGTCTGCGGACAGTGTGGGCTACTCTGTTGTTTTTCCTGACCGTATTTGTATGTGTCGCCTCCCTTCGGAGGCTAGCGTCTTTACGGCAGAACTTTATGCTATTCTCTATGCTCTTCGTCTCTTGCTTTCTCATTCTCATTCGTCCTTTGTGGTTGTAGTTGACTCTCGTAGTGCCCTCATGGCTCTAAGGTCCTTTAATCCTGTCCATCCGGTGGTCATCGAGATTCATTATTGGCTGTTTCTTATTTCTAGTAAATTTAAATCAGTAGAGTTTTGCTGGGTTCCCAGCCATATTGGTGTTTCTTTCAATGAGCGTGCGGATACTGCCGCTAAGGAAGCTATCCGTTCTTGTCCCATCTCCCGTAAAGGTATTCCTTATTCCAACTTTTATCCTGTTATTCATTCTTCCATTCTTGCCCGTTGGCAGGGTTGTTGGTCCTCTGTGGTTGGTAACAAGCTGCGTACTCTCAAACGTAGTGTGTCCCCGTGGCCTTCCTCCTGCCACCGTAACCGGCGGTTGGAAACTGCTTTGGCACGGCTGCGGGTTGGTCATACTCGCTTAACCCACGGTCATTTAATGGAGCGCCGCCCTGCTCCTTATTGTCCGAATTGCGTTGTCCCTCTTACAGTTGTGCATATCCTTGTTGAATGTCCTGACTTCCAGGACGAGCGTGTGTCTTGTTTTCCGACCGTCCCTCGCGGTCACTTGTCCCTCGATAGAATTCTAGGTGAATCGGATACTTTTGATATCGTTCGCCTTATGCGTTTTTGTTCTCGTATTGGCATTCTTAGTGATATTTAGCGCCCTCTGATTATTTCGCACTTTGTTGGTGCTACATAGCCTTCTCGGTTTGGTGCCTTCTTTTGATAATTACCTTACCTATTGTTTAGGTACTCCCTTATCCACTGGAGCACCCTACCAGTTACTCCTGCCTGTTTCTCCAGCTTATACATAAGCCTCTTATGGGGTACTGTGTCAAAGGCTTTCCGATAGTCCAAGAAAATGCAGTCTACCCATCCTTCTCTTTCTTGCTTAATCTTTGTCACCTGATCGTAGAATTCTATTAAGCCTGTAAGGCAAGATTTACCCTCTGTGAACCCATGTTGATGGGTTGTCACAAAGTCCTTTCTCTCCAGATGTGTTATTAGGTTTTTCTTCACTATCTTCTCTATCACCTTGCATGGTATACAAGTTAAGGATACTGGCCTGTAGTTCAATGCCTCTTGTCTGTCACCCTTTTGTATATTGGGATAGATATGTGTAGATATGTTCCTGAGTCCAATAGGCTCAGGAACATGTACACCTCAAAGCGTTATATGACAAAGAGTGCTAGGCGGACGGGACACCACGAGCGTAGCTCTCATCCTGTAACTACAATTAGGTAATTACACTTAGGTAATTACCTGTTGAATGATGGTTGAGAGGCAGGATCAAACAGCCGATGCTCAACCCCCGCAAGCACAACTAGGTGAGTACACGAGAAACGTACAAAAATTTGTTGTACGAAATTGTAAAGAAAAAGTGCGATTCGTCCTCTACCAAACGGTTAGTATTCGTTCTGCACATGCACAGTGGTGCATCCAACATGAAAGAACCGTTTTCTTAAAAAAATATATAATCTTGTGCTATTATATTCAAAGAAAAATTCCAAGTACATTCTCTAATTGGAGAACATTAGGAAAAATATGTGTTGAATGTTGGAAAACTGCTATGAACAAAAAAGTAGGAAATTAAGACGTTGAACCCCCCCAAAAAAAAACAAAAAAACATTGGAACGATTAGGTGATCGGCGCCATTTTAACAACAAACATTGTCGTGTTTAAGTTATTGAGTGAACACCGCAATGAGACATGGGCATTAAAGGAAGACCTTCACACTAACTCCACCTATGTTTTCCGCCATTACCACTCTTTCAGTCACCCAGAGGTAAAAAAAAAACTTCCCACAAACTGCACTTGCCATAAAGAAGATGAAAACTCACAAGTGTTCAGAGTGTGGGAAGGTGTTCACTCATCTTGGACATATGAAGAATCACATGTTAGTACATTCGAATGACAAATCTCATGAGTGTCCAGAATGCGGAAAGAAATTCATTCGCCTTGGAAGTATGAAGACTCACATGTTGGTACATTCTGGTAAGAAACCTCATGAGTGTCCAGAGTGTGGGATGGGATTGAGCCAGCTTAGAAGTATGAAAAGACATATGTTAGTGCATTCGCGTGATCGACCTCATAAATGTCCAGAGTGTGGGAAGAAGTTCAGTCAGCTAGGAAATATGAAGATTCACATGTTAGTGCATTCGCGTGATCGACCTCATGAGTGTCCAGAGTGTGGGAAAAGATTCAGTCGTCTTGGAGACGCCAAGACTCACATGTTAGCACATTCTGCTGATAAACCTCATGAGTGTCCAGAATGTGGGAAGAGATTCAGTCGCCTTGGAAGTATGAAGTCTCACATAATAGTACATTCGGGTGATAAACCTCATGAGTGTCTAGAATGTGGGAAGAGATTCAGTCGCCTTGGAAGTATGAAGACACATTTGTTAGTGCATTCGGGTGAGAAACCTCACAAGTGTCCAGAATGTGGGAAGAGATTCAGTCGTCTTGACAGTATGAAGACACACTTGTTAGTGCATTCGGGTGACAAGCCTCACAAGTGTCCAGAGTGTGGGAAGAGATTCAATCTGCTTGGAAGTATGAAGACTCACAGGATGATGCATGCAGATGAAAGACCCTTTGAATGTGCAGAGTGTGGCAAAAAATTTAGAGATCGTGGAACTATAATACGGCACATGTTAGTGCACTCGGGTGATCGCCCTCATGAGTGCCCAGAGTGTGGGAAGAAATTCAGACAGCTTGGACATCTGAAGACCCACAGGATGGTGCATACAGATGAAAGACGTTTTGAATGTGCTGAATGTGGCAGAAAATTTAGGGTACGTGGAACAATAATACAGCACATGTTAGTGCATTCGGAAGATGAACCTCACCAGTGTTCAGAGTGTGGGAAGCGATTCAGTCAACTTATAAATATGAGGACTCACATGTTAGTGCATTTGCGGGATCGACCTCATGAGTGTCCAGTGTGTGGGACGAGATATTGTCAGCTTGAACATTTGAACAGGCACAAGAAGACACATTCAGGTGATAAGCTAAACACTTTAAGTATGGAAGAGGATTCAAAGAATGTTGAAGTACAATGAGGCACACATTAGTACATTTACTTACCTTTAATCTAAAAATACAATTTGGAAATCGAGCTTCATCATGAAAATATTGTGCTATCACCGTGTCAGTTGGATGTCCTACAGAGGTAATTGTTAAAATTTGTTTGAGAAATACACTTCACCATGAAAGGTAAAGGTCTAAAAGGTATTTTATTATTTTGTTCTTTTATTAAAGGTAGAAGCTCCTCATAGAGCAAGCAAGAACTATAGCACCTGTCAGTGTAGAAGTTAGATGCTCCTCATAGACCAACCAAACTAGAGAAGCTGCCATATAGAAAAATTAAACATTTTCATAATTGAAGAAATATTTATTTTAACAGGTAAAGAAAGTTTTCAATGTTTTTTAATTTTTATTTAAACTTTATTTATTTATTTATATACAAGTTCCCATGACACAGGGACTTGCATTATCAGTCTCCAAGGCACAGTGGTAAAACACTCACGCCTGGGTTTGTATCTTGGCTCGGAAGGATTGACTAGACACCAATCCTCAGCTGCACACCTCTTTTCACCCAGTAGTGGATAACTGGTTATTTAACGATTTGGTGGGTCATATTCCAGGGAAAATTAAGATTAACCTGCCTGAAACAGTGTGTGTGCTAGTGGCTTTACAAAAATGTAAGAACTCTTGTATGTGTATGTATATTGATGTATGAATTTATTTATTTATATATATACAAGAAGGTACATTGGGTTTGTGAGAATACATTGGATAGTACAGTATATACATTCTTGTAAAGCCACTAGTATGCACAGCGTTTCGGGCAGGTCCTTAATCTAGCAGATAATTTTAAGTAGGTAATTTCAATCAGAATTGATAAATGATAAAGATGCATTACAAGAGAAAAATGAGATGAGAGAGATAAGTAGGTATATTAAAGCATATTGTTATATTAAAGCTCTGATTGATTACATTGACAACTTGATTAGTAATTTAAACAAGGTTAATAGACACCATACAGCAGTTTGACAGCACATATAAGACAGCAATGATCACAATGGTAAAGATGTTCAGATTGGGTACATAAAGATTGGGAGACTGGGTAGCAAAAGATACAGATAAACAAGATTTATAAACACCATACAACAGATTGGCAGCACATATAAGAAAACAATGATCACAATGGTAAAGATGTACAAATTGGGAACATAAAGGTTGGGAGATCGGTTAGCAATTGATACAGTGCAATTTTAAGGCAAAAAGTGAAAAACTATGAAGATGAAATTAGGTACTTTTTAGTATTGATTTTGAATGATGTAAAAGTTGGACAGCTTTTCAATTCAGTAGGGGAGTGAGTTCCATAAACTGGGTCCCTTTATTTGCATAGAGTGTTTACACAGATTAAGTTTAACTCTGGGGATATCAAAGAGATATTTATTTCTGGTGTGGTGATAATGGGTCCTATTACATCTGTCCAAGAAGAGTTTCAGACAAGGATTTGCATTTAAGAACAGGGTTTTGTAAATGTAGTTGACACAAGAGAATTTGTGGAGTGAGATTATGCTTAGCATGTTTAGGGAGTTAAACAAGGGGGCTGTGTGTTGTCTGAAAGCAGAATTTGATATTATTCTGATAGCAGATTTTTGCTGGGTGATGATGGACTTGAGGTGGTTTGCAGTGGTTGAACCCCATGCACAGATACCATAGTTGAGATAGGGATAGATTAGTGCATAATATAGAGAGATGAGAGCAGAGTTAGGAACATAATATCTGATTTTGGAGAGTATACCAACTGTTTTAGAGACTTTCTTAGTTATGTGTTGTATAATGAATGTAATGTATGTAATTATATAATGTATGTATGTAATGTGCCCGAAATGCTATGCATACTAGTGGCTTTAGATATTGTATGTACTAGCTTTATCTATAAATCAATCAGAAGTACAAGGCATATATATATATACTGTATGTATATATATATATATACAGGTATATATATATATATATATATATATATATATATATATATATATATATATATATATATGTCGTACCTAGTAGCCAGAACGCACTTCTCAGCCTACTATGCAAGGCCCGATTTGCCTAATAAGCCAAGTTTTCATGAACCTAACCAACCCTACCTAACCTAACCTAACCTATCTCTATAGGTTAGGTTAGGTTAGGTAGCCGAAAAAGTTAGGTTAGGTTAGGTTAGGTAGGTTAGGTAGTCGAAAAGCAATTAATTCATGAAAACTTGGCTTATTAGGCAAATCGGGCCTTGCATAGTAGGCTCAGAAGTGAGTTCTGGCTACTAGGTACGACATATATATATATATATATATATATATATATATATATATAATATATATATATATATATATATATATATATATATATATATATATATATTATATATATATATATATATATATATATATATTATAATTAATATATTTTCTCTAATTTTTCTCTCATGAAGCCAAGTTTTCATGAATTAATATATTTTCTCTAATTTTTCTCTCATGAAATGATAAAGCTATCCATTTCATTATGTATGAGGTCAATTTTTTTTTATTGGAGTTAAAATTAACGTACATATATGACCGAACTTAACCAACCCTACCTAACCTAACCTAACCTATCTCTATAGGTTAGATTAGGTTAGGTAGCCGAAAAAGTTAGGTTAGGTTTGGTTAGGTAGGTTAGGTAGTCGAAAATCAATTCATTCGTGAAAACTTGGCTTATTAGGCAAATTGGGCCTTGCATAGTAGGCTGAGAAGTGCGTTCTGGCTACTAGGTACGACATATATATATATATATATATATATATATATATATATATATATATATATATATATATATATTTTTTTTTTTTTTTCGTATATTAATACATCTTCAGAAGGAGTGATTTTACAGATCAAGTATTGGACATAAATAGGCAGGAGAGAATGGTGGAGTGAGGTGACGTACAAAATAACTAATGAATGGGAATAAAGGTGGACACAAATAAATATATACTAGTATATATATATATATATATATATATATATATATATATATATATATATATATATATATATATATATATATATATATATATATATATATATAGATATACAGGTATATATTATATAGATATATATAAAATTAGTAAAGAGTGGATGTTGGATTTCTGAGAGTACATAACATTAATATTGGTATTCTTACATTCTTTCAAAGCCGGTCGATCTCGAACCCATTGTTGATGTGACGACTTATATTGAATTTTGTAACTAGCTCATCAAGATTGTAACTTGCTTAGCTAAATGAATTGTGGGGTTCAGTCCCTGAGCCCATCATGTGCCTCTGTGACCCTTTCCACTACCGCCCACGGGATGGGTATGGGGTGCATAATAAATGAACTAAACTAACTTTCAAAGCCACTAACATGCATAGCATTTCATTTCAGGCAGGTACTTAATCTAACAGATATTTATTAAGAGGTACATTGTAGCAAAATTTGAGTTTATCATTATAACTACAATATTAAATTATGGAGATTATTACACTGGTGAAGATGTATGTCTTAAGTACAGTACAGTACTAATATTGGGGTAGTAGGTAGCATAAGCTATAGTGTGAGTTTGAAGTACAAGGTAGAAAACTAAGATGAAATTAGGTACTTTTTGGTTTTACTTTAATATAAGGTATAGGTTGAACAATAATTTAAATTTTTAATTAATAATTAATCAAATAATGTATGTGCTTTCTATTATTGTTCTCTTTAGAAATTTATTTAAATTGTAATATAATCTCTGTAGTTAAGTTATAGAGATGGTCTTTTATTTGTTAATTATTAAACAATTTTATTTATTTATTTACAAGAAGGTATTTTGGGTTGTCAGAGCACATAATATTGTATTTACATTCTTACAAAGCCACTAACATGCATATGTTTCAGGTAGGTCCTTAATCTAACAGATAAAGGTAACATTTTTTATAGGTATATTGTTACATAATTTAAGTTCATCATAATAGCTACAACTATAAATTGATAATTTTAAATATACTGGTGAAGTTGCATGTCTTTAAGTACAGTACTAAAATTGGGTGAGTGGGTAGCACAAGATGCAGTGTGAGTTTGAAGCACAAGGTAGGAAATTATGAGGATGTATATAGAGATATATACATCCTCATTATTTGACTAGGTACATCCAAACAGTACCAAATTACTCTAAGTACTGTTTGGCTTTACTTTTTAATAAAGCATAGGCTGGACAGTTTTGTAATTCATTGGAGAGCAAGTTCCTTAGACTGGGTCCTATTATTTCCATGAAGTGTTTGC